TCTCCTCCCTCTCTGACCTCACGCTCTTACTTCTGGTCTCCCGTTGCTGACACCACTTGCTCACCTCTGTCAGGTAGTATTCCAGATACAATGTTAAGTTCAAGATGCAATAAGGTCTGTAGTGTTGATTACTTTTATTTAGTGCTTGCTGCCACGGACCCTCCTTGTTTGCTGTGACATTTGTGTACCACCTGTCAAGCCGTCTAGCAGGCTGGCTGGCTGTTTGGAATCTGTCCTTCGCCACACTTGTTCAGCGACTAATACAGGTGTGTGTGGCATAATACCAGAGCTCCAAACAATCGGTTAGTTGTACAAATATGGATATGTTTTTTTTTTTTTTTTTTCCAAAATTAAGCCCTATGTTCCCACATTTCCTTTGTTATCAATTTGCATCAGAATTTATCCCCATTTCCCTCAGGTAGTGTTGTTGGTAGGTGTAAATGTTAATGTTAATTATTGGTTCAGCCAGTAGTTACTATAAGACATCAAGGTAGAAGCCCTCGGACTGCCACAATATGTTCCATATTGCTCTACATCTCTACCTTATATGTATTCAATTACCGTATTTTTTGGACTATGATGCGCACCAGAGTATAAGGCGCAGTATCAATAATGTTGAATTCTCTCGTCTATTGTCATACATAAGGAGTACCGGATTATAAGGAGCATTAAGCGAAACAAACAACGACACTTGAGACTGATCCTTTAACCCAGGCGTCCACGATCCATTGACAGAGCGTAATTCACTCAGCGTCGCCTCTCTGTTTTGATGAATGTGTATTATGAATGTGAATGTGGGTTTGTTTTATTATTTCCTACGAGGACGACTTAAATATACATTGAGTGATGATGTGTTTAATGAAGCTTTGTGCACATTTGTTTATGTTTTACAGAAACAAAACTTGAAACCACATGGCCAATTTGCATAAACTATAAGTGCTGAAAAAACATCTCCCTCCTTGTGCACTGATGTGATTCAGCTTCTGTCGGATTAAAGAACACGACTCAGTGGAATATGAGTGTTCTTTCTGAGACAAGGCGATGGGGGCAGTGTGCGCTGAGTCGATGCAGAACTATATTTTGCTTTACTCCATGTGACTCCTGACTATGGTAGCTGTAATGACAATCCATCAACCGGTGTGGCTTCGTAGTTTACCAAAGTCATACTTAAACATTTTGACTGATTTTTGAGCACTGTGTACCACATAAAAACGGTTCAGGGTCAGTAAGCTCAACCAGAAGTAATACATTAGACGCACCGGATTGTAAGATGCACTGTCGTGTCTTTAAGTGCGTCTTATAGTCCGAAAAATACAGTACAGGTGGTTTCATAGCTCAAAAAATGCCAAGAGAAACAGGCATTGTGACTGTGAGCAGGGTCACCTCTCCACAGATCTGACCTGTACGTTGGTCTGGTTTGGTCTCCATGAAAATTAAAAGGTTTAATGCCATACTGTGAACAATTCCAGACAGAGCAATAACATCTCCTTGAAGAAAACACTTTTGACGGACCCTCCACCAGAAAAGTTACACAATGCACCTTTAACACTGCACCATCTCATCTCTCATCTGTACCAGTACACACCTGACGTAGATTCCCTTTGACAGGGACCATAACATGAGCGTGTATCCATGGAGCTGTCATGGAGGTAAACTGGCCCGGCACAGCACCCGCCACATCACCCGCTCGTCACCCGTGAGCGGCCCTAACGCGGAGTGACACCCAGCACCCATCTGCGCTGACGTGACGGTGTCGGCGGTGATTACGAGAGTCAGACAGCACGCATGATTGAGAGACGAAAGCGCACCATCAAGGTAAACAAGTCAATTAACTGAAAAAAAATACGAGATTGTTTTGTGGCCTCCGTTACGATATTTACATAAATACAATCAGCAGACTCCAGTTGGCTGTTAGCTGCTAGCGGTTATGCATATAGGGTTAGGGTTGCAACCGTAGATACCGGAGGGAGATTGGAAAGGTAAGGTATGCCGGTGGAATGTAAAGGCGGACATGTTGTGGAGGTCGTGTGATTGTGTTGGTTGTCAATAGAGTCGCGGAGATGTTCAGACGGTATTCAGCTTGGAAACATTTTAAAGGTCTTATATAACGCGAAATAGACTTTTATCTTTTAGTCATGTTAGAATGTTGTTACCTCCTTCAAAAACAGACCTGGAGTTGTGTTTTGTTTCGTTCACACGTTTGAGTAACCTCCTATAATTAGTCTGTTTACATCTCCAAAACTCAGGAGCTACCTTTTACTTTTAGGTCAGTAAGGATTCAATTCCAGGGCTGAAATTATCCAAATGATGGTTACATGCTGCTATTCCAACTAGGGCTGGGTATTAAGAAGTTGCCGATACGATACATACCTCGATACGTAGGCCACGATACGACACATATCTCATTACAGTGCACTTTCAATTCGATTCGATATATTTCAAATCAATTCGATACAATTCAATAAAAAATAATGGCTAAATCATGTCTTTGTTAAACCGCTTCTTCTGCAAAGTTAATACGAAACACAAACATTTTTAATCCTTAAAACAATGAAAATGTCAAATGTGTCGAGTTTCCTTTGACGAAACAAGTAACAAAACTGTAGCACTGTAACAAAATTAATTTAGAAAATATACCCTTGGCGATATATGGATACAGCAGCCCACGATATTGATATTTTGATGTTTTTGCACACCCCTAATTCCGACATGCCACTATTTAGACATTGACATCTAATTGTTGGAGAAGTGGCACAAACATTATTTTTCAAGCGTCCCACTACTTCGACTTTTTTTTTTTTCATTGTCGGAGTAGCAGCACTATTTTTCATAGTATTATTTTATTATTTTAACGTAGCACTTTTCTGACATGAATAATTCTGACATTATACTTTGTGCTTCCTTATATCATAAGATGCTTTGGGACTTAATCAGAGAATTCTTGGGCCACAGAAGATATCAGACAGTGGGAAAATGTCCTAACTGATCGCCGTGGGAAACAGTCATGCATTTAAAAAAAAAGAGCATAGGCCGGTCTTCGGGAAAATATCTAATCTAAAATGGAGGCTGCATGTGTCGGAATAGCAGTATCAAAAAGTGTTGGAAAACTGATATGTCTAAATAGAAGCCTGTCAGAATACCGGCATGTCATAATGAAGGGATGTCGGAATAGGTAGCGGACCCCCCATTGATTCTAGTGGTGTATGGAGTTTAAAACACAGCAGAGTGCTTTTGTTTTTGTTCGCCTGGCCAGCCGAAACCACACGTTTTGATGAAACTTTACGAAGATGTTCAAGTCTAGAACCGTACCCTGGCTCTCTGATTCTAGATTGGCGTTATTGACAGGTAGATTAACCAATCAGAGAAATGTATGGTCTGTTTGTGTCAAAACGTAGACTGTATTTATAAATGGACATAGGAAATGAGCATGGGTGTGCTTCCGACTCCATCAACTCCAATTCATTTTGTATTGAAAAAACCTCCACCCCTCTCTGTAACTGCTCTGTCAGACTCCTCATTTTGGTCTTAGAATTTTCATTTTAACCTGCTCTACATGATTAGAGTGACCGGGTTTTCAAAATAAAAAACTGGGACATCCCTGGATTGGGTTGGTAGGTAATAACAAAATTGTGCGTAATTAAGGAAAATTGTTTTGTACTCGGCACTAATGTGAGTCAGTACAGTCACATTTCCTTTGTGTTTTGGTCCTTTTTAAGCAGCTTTTCTGTATTTTACCAAAACAAATGACAATTTCTGCCTCTCTTTACTGTTGGCGGGGATCAGATTGGTCAAAAATAGGGACACGAGGGACATTTCTTGTATAAAACTGGGACAAATCACTCATTTTGGATAAATCTGCTGGGACAGTGGACACAGGGCTAAAAACTGGAACTGTCCCGGGTAAACAGGAACGTCTGGTCACCTTATGTAACGTGATCCTGGTGTTTTTATTTAGCTGTTTTGTCCGTAAATCAATTCCTATTCATAATATGGAACTCTGCTTTGCATTTGGATGATTTCAGCCTTGGAATTGCCAATCTCTACTAAACAAAATGTAAAAGGTTAGCCTGATTCATGAGCCGGTTTCACTTCGTAGAAACTGTCTGACCTTGCAGTGTTAGGATTCGTTCGCTCGACGGTAGGCGGGTACTTTTTATTTAACCAATTGCTGCTATTTTATGGGTTAACTGGTATATTAATCTTTTCCCAAATCCTGCAGGAAGAAGGGCAATAACGTCTTTCCCCTTGATAAAATTCACTAAACGTTCTCTTTGTTCCGGCTTTAAATCCTCGATCTTGAGAATTGTTGCCAATACAGAATGTATGGCTCGTCGCTGATTGACTGGTGACCGCACTTCTGGGGTTTTTGCGAACCATCTAGTGTGTTCTGATTCCTGACCTAGTCGCTGGACAGAAATAGAATTGAGTGGAGACATTAGGTTGTAAAAGATAGTTGTTGAGCTTGAAAACTATTGCTCCATGACATTATAAGGTGAATCAGAGCATTTTTGAGCTGTGGAGATGTAGACAGACTGATAATAAAGGGTTACTCAAACATGTGAATGAAACAAAACACAATTCTAGGTATGTTTTTGAGGAGGTAGCAAACTTTGAACCTGGCTTAAAGCTCACAAGAGTTCATTTTGCGTAATATAGGATGTTTAACTATTGGAATTTATCACCTATGATAGTCAGGATGTAAAAATTTGTTATTGTTTCCAACTTGTACTTCACATATCGTGACCTCCACAATATGACGTCAGACTAATTTAATGACATCTCCCTTCTTAGATCTATAGTTGCAACTCTAGTTAAGTGTTAGTCAATGCTGCTATAGAACCTTTTTTAGGTCTTCTTCTGTGGAGCACATTGTCTATTGTCTCTTTAGCTCCTTTGATATATTTTTTATTTTTTTTTACAAGGCTCAAGATAAGATCCCACTTGGCCTCATCCCGTCTCTGCTTCCTCCTTAAGCCCCGTCCCTTCGATCGGTCGCACGATCACCCGGTGGGCAGGTAGGGCGTGTCACTGTGGTAGTTGTAGTCTGGACACACCTTCTGGACCAGCTTGTAGTCGGTGCTGTGGAACGTGATGAAGATGCAGATGACCTTGAAGGGCTTGGAGCACAACCAGGACACGTGGCTTTGGGTCTGCTCCTGTGGGCAGCTCTGCGACGGGTCATGGGCGCACAAGGAGTTCCTCGTCCCCTTCTCCACCTTCTCGTACTCCACGCGACAGTTGAAGAGCTTGGTCTCTTTGGTCTCCAGGGCCGTCTGCTGCTGTTGGTGGTGGTTGTTTGGTTGGTGGAAGTGCGGGTGAGGTTGGACTTGGAACTCCACGGCTTTGGTCGGAGGTACCAGCCCCACGGAGACGTTGCCCTGCCCGGTGGAGTTGTGCCGGAAGTAGACGCTGAAGGTCCCGTTGCCGTGGTCGACGATCTTTCCCGTGATGAGTAAGTTGAGTTTGACGGTCTTGATATTGGAATGGAAGTCTCCCCAACCGAACATCTTCTTGAACTTGCCGGTTTTGACGATGGGTCTTCTCTTGGTTCTGGAGCGGGTTTCTCGTGGAGAAGAAGAAGAAGAGGAAGAGGTGTTGTAGGGCCAGTTCCAGTGCTCCTGTTTGGAGAAGGGGTCCGGTCCGTCGTAGTCCAAGTGGAGGGCGGTGAAGTTCTCCTTGCCGTAGATGTTCTGGGACAGGAGACGACTTATGGACACACTTTTGCTGCTACTGCTGCTGCTGCTCTCAGTCCAGTAGGTCTTCACTTTGGACTTGGGAGTGTCTCTAAGATGGGAGTCTGCAGCGATGACCTGCAATGAGAAATGAGAGAGAGGTGAAGGACAAAAATCACGTTCTAATGTTACAATTAAACAGAAGAGCACACTGTGAAAATGTAGAAGAAGATAAGAGAAACTTCACAGCAAGAAGTAGTGATGGAACTTTCGATTCTTTTGTGGGATCTGAATATTTTGGATGTATTCATTTCAAAGAGATGCTCAAAAGACTGGCTTTTTTACTATTTATTTATCTATTTACATGACGGAAGCCAACGTAAGAACAAATTTTGACAACTAATCAAAGAGAAAGTGACAAATGACCACTCAGATTTTTAAAAAGTTTTGTGTAATATAGGATCTTTATTCTGAAACTGTTTGTGAGACCATCCCTCCAGACAGCAACTACTGAAAAATATTGAGTATCTTTAGTCCCAAAAAGCAGAGCTAAAGTGACAGCAAAAATATTAAATCAAGTAAATCAAAAATGTTGAGTCTAAAACTGGGAACTGAATTGCACGATGTATTTATTATCACCTAAATAATGTCAAATCTCGTCTTGTTCTTGTAGATCCAATTATTATTTTTTTGTTTGTGTGGCCAGACGGACAACACTATTAGTTTGTTTTACTAAGTTCGTTTTTCTAATTTGTTTAAGGTCACTTTATTATCACTTTTATTTTCTGTATTATACTTATTTCTTCTTGTTATTTTGATTAGTTGATTAGTTTTGTTTTGGTCAGTTTGATTGAAGTTATGCCAGTTGGGCCCAGTTTTTTTTGTTAATGATTTACCTAATTTGAGCCTGTTATTTATTTATTTTTTTTTTACCTGGTCCCCAAAGGGTTGACCAGCTTGTGTATTCACCATGTGTGTCTGTCCATCCGCGATAATTCTGCCATTTATGGACCGATTGTCACCAAACTTGGTACGTGGGCCAAGTCCCCGTGCCCAATGCCGCAAAAAAGTTTGGTGACAATCTGGGGTCATTTGAGGTCACATGGGTCAATTGAAAGGTCACGCCATTATAAAGGATTGGCAATTTCTGAACCATCTGCGGCCTAAAATATTCACCCAATCATCACACAAGTTGGCACACACATAACTGGGGTATGAGCTGGGCTCATGGGGGACCAGGTAACTATCTCTGAATGCGCTTGTTAAATTTATTTTTATACCTTGTGTAAGGCTAAGAGTAATGTGTTAAAAGGACTAAGACAGCTAAAATGAAGTAATGCATGCCATATGTTAATGTCAGTAATAAAAAAACACAGACACCCACTATTTTTTTCTAAATATGATATGGTCTGTGGAGTGTCGCTAGGGGGCGCACTGGTAGAAGGAGTTAGGAATCCAAAGGACAGCGCTGCAGAACAAACCCTGAAGTCCTGAGACGCAAAAGACAAATCATCTGTACCTTGTATTTCTTTTCCAGGGTTTACCTTCACACCTTTCTCGAGCAGGGGAGAGGCAACACTTGCCTTTGCCTTTCTGTTTGGTCCACTACACCACCCCGGACCACAAGGAGTAACAGAGAGTTTTCTGTTGGAGAGAACAGCCTAAATCTGCAGGGATTGTGTGTTAAACGTGTGAGAATGAAACAAAACACAACTCCAAGTATGTTTGTGATTTTGTGATGATAAAACAATGTTATAACTAGGGCCGGGCACATTAACACATTCATTTTGCTTTAACTAATTAATTCATTATCACAGACAATTATTTTAACGTCGTTAACACAGTTTTTATTATTTATTTTTTTAAATTGTAAATGTCTGTTGCTCACTGGCTTTTATTTTGAAAAAGTCCACCGCGAGTGCTTCTTTAAGTTTGATGTCTTTTCTTTACACTTTTTTCACTTTTTTCTGACCACGTGAGATGCAATGTGTCTGAGCCTCTGTAGGCCGCGGGCTCTGCCGGACCAGCCGTGGGCTCTGAACTTCCACGGGCTCTTCCAAATGCCTCTGAGGTGTCCAGTGCGGTTTTCGTCACTGCGGTCTCACTTACAGGGTATTGGCGAAGACCTGGAAGATTTCGTGACATGTTCCCGCCCATAACTCAATGAAATATGATTGGCTCAGACAACTGTCAATCTCAAACTTCGGTCCAGCCACCTCAGGCCCTGCAGGTGTTTGTTTAGTTCAGTGCTGCAGGGGGAGTCACTGATTTACCCAGATACCACTGGAAGAAAAACTGTGATTGATCCATTTCCATTATATTAACCCTTTGTTTGCCAAGAAATATCAGTCCACGTTTATAACAATGATCTAGAAATTATTACTAGTGCAGTGTTTATTACTCACTGAATAAAAAATATAGAAAAAATATTAGTAGTACAAAAATTCATTAAATATTTTTTCTTGAGCCTTCAGAATACCTTGAAGGCTCTGAAAGAAATGCTGTGTGCACAACAAATCTTTGGCTCTTTCTTTTACATTTCCAATAAAAGTGCGCTTTACGCTACTTTTTAATTCATTAATTTGTTTTTCGTATAACATGCCCGAGTTATAACAGATCAGAAAGTGGCGTGATATTGGCCCTTTAAGCCAGGTTCAATTATCTGTCCATCTGTCCATAACACAGACATCTAAGTTGTAACACACTCTCCCTTCACCTGACACTTCTCTCCTGCCACTATAGTCTTGTCCAGCCTCCCCTCGGGCTACACGTTGCTGACCTCCTCCTCCTCCTCTTCTTCTTCTTCTTCCTCCTCTTCCTCCCGCTGTTGGTTTACCTAATGCCCACCGCCGCCCTAGTGGTGTGTGAAATGCCAAGCTGAAGATAAAAAAAACTCCATCTCAACCCGCGACCCAGAGACGAATGGACCTCCCCTCTTCTCCGACGCTCTACCTGCCCGATGTAGCCCGAGCGCATGATGGATGGCGCACTCAACCTCCGCCCCCTGCCTGCCCCCCCTCCCACTAAAAAAAAAAAAAAGAAGAAGAAGAAGAACAGACAGCCGATCTATCCCTCCCTCCGTCCCTCCGCCGTTTACATCCAGATCAATATTGCGAAAATAAGCTTTGTTCTCATTCACTAAAGTTCAACGCGCGTGACATTGCTCGGCGGTTGGCGGCGGGTGAACTTTGAGGCTGGGGATGACTTTTGGGCGGGGTGCGGGTGCCGGCGCTGGTGGGGTCGGTGGCGGTTGAGGAGGGGAGGGGGGATATGGGAGAAGGGAGGGAGGGAGGTGGGTGGGTGGGTGCGGCGTGGCTCTGAAAGGATGGCCTCCAGTTGTTTTTGAAGAGCAGAGAATGATGAATGCGCGCGAGGAGAGGTGGACATTTAGCGCGGCGTTCACCCTTCTCTCCGCGAGGACAAAAGAAAAGGCGCTGCGCTTTTCGGGGGTTGGAGATTCGACGATAGCAATGCAGCGTTGTGTGTAGCAGAGAAGAGCCGTTAGGAAAAAAAAATCAATACCCACATTCTAATTAAAGGAATTATATGTCGCCCGTGCTCTTAAAGGTTTAATAAAAAGGTATTATAATCACAGCCGAACCTCTAATGACGGTGCTTTAACCTGCAGATAAGAGGACACATCCAAGTTTTTCTCATTCTCAGTGTTTAGAGAGCGCAGACTGAAGCGCCAGAGTCACAGATTAATGACTGGCTGCGGGTGGTGGGGTTTTGGTAGTGACGATTCAGATCAGAGAGTCCTTTAAGGTTTAGACCAACTGGATTTCAGCATCGAAACTGGCAACACAATTGAGAAGCTCGTGCGAGGCTCGTTCTGCTTTCTGATTGGATGATGCATTTTTTAGTATAAATCTAAATTCTTGCATGAGAATTAAGGCTTTTCGAATATTCATCTGACCATCACAAGCTTGTTCCTTCATATCAGAATGAAGCTTGAAATTTCAGAATGCAGAACAGTCGGTGCAGTTTTTGTGTCGATATCGAGGCAGTTGGAGTCATCATACTACTATATGGCTTATTACAGGCTTTAACAGGAAGACAGGGTTATTAAATTTTCCTAAAAACTGGTTTAGTATTGATCTTTGGGCAGTAAATGCATGATTCTTTTGGAGTTTATGCTTGTTTACATTTAGCCTGATTCTTCAGCTGGTTTCACTTCATGGAAACCGTCTGACCTCGCAGCATTAGGATTTGTTCGCTCGATAGTAGGCAGGTACTTTTTTTATTTAACCAATCACTGCTATTTGGTCATGTAATGCGCCGAATCCCGTAGGAAGAAGGACAATAACGTCTTTCCCCTTGATAAAATTCACCAAACCTTCTTTTTGTTCTGGCTTTAAATCCTCGAACTCGGGAATCGTTGCCAACACAGAATGTCTGTCCTCGTATAGATCCAATTTGACGCTTTGTTTACTGTTGTGTTGTACCACAAAAGAGACCCAATCATGTCTTCACAACTCTTGGCTGATTGGTCGGTGCGCGATCTACAACTTCCGGGGTTTTTGCGAACCGTCTAGTACGGGGTGTCCAAACTTTTTTCATCAAGGACCATATATCTAAACACAGACAAAGCAGAGGGCCGATCCAGGGTCGTAGACTGGTGCTCAGTACAGTGAATAATTGAAATGTGTGCATATTTAACATTAGAATGAGCCATCAGTCTTTATTCATGCTAAGATCCTTAAAACCAAACACTAAATATTAAATATTATCTTTAGAAAAGTAGATTTTCAAAAAACTTGCAGTAAAAAGGTCATTTTAATTGATGCAAGGTAAGTGGGCCAAGTCACCTGGAAACCTGAGGGCCAAGAAAAATTTGTCCAAGGGCCGCATTTGACCCATGGGCCATAGTTTGGACACCCCTGGTCTAGTGTATTCTGATTCTGACCTAGTCGCTGGAGAGAAATAAAATTGAGCGGAGGCACTAGGTGGCACCAGCCCGGCTTGTTTACATTAGCAACTAGAGCCAATATGGCAGCAGGTGGCAAAAACAATTGTGACAGCACTATAACGTAAGGATAACACAGGAAATGTGTCCAATTTGGTATTTTTAACAATTAGTTTTTTATTTTTAAATTCAACACATGATTGTTGTATATGACAGACATTTTTGGTCAAAGTGACATTCTGTTTTCTATCTTTTTGAAACAAAATACCTGCTTGTTAATTTGCTGAACTGACTTGGTAGCGTCAGTCTACTTGTCTCCATGGAGATACATTTGTTTAATACTATATTGTGGATCATCTTTATGGTGAAATGCAGGTGGTGGAGCATACAGAAGGAAGGTTACACAGAGCACACTGCAAAAAACTCAATATCTAGATGAGTTAAAATGACTTAAATTAAGAACATTTGTCTTTATTTGATAGATTCAACTTGACAAGTCACATAATCTACCAATGGAATAAGTGTGTTTGTCTTAATTCAAGCAACATTAAATTTGATTTCTTATTTTAAATGCAAAGAGTTGTTGGTTTTCTTAGGTGTAACATATTTTATGTTTCATATTTTAAGTACAAAAAGTCTGATTTTACTGGTCAAGTGAAATGTATTCAAATCATGATAAAACTTTCTTGATTCAGGTACTCTAAACTTGGCTAGATTTCTGTTTTTGCAATGCACCTTTAATTTATGATATTATGTAACTCATATAACATTATTTGACTTTATCTGATGGGGTTCATTACAGATGTATTGGACTATTTCACAATAACTACTGTTACTGCTACTGCTACTACTACCACTACTACCACTACTACCACTACTACTACTACTACCACTGGTACATTATTCAGTTTTATTTACATGTTTAATTAAAGTGGGGGCACTATCATTTGCACTCTATGCTAAGTCACCCCCCATTCAGAGCGCTATCGCTACACAACCAGATTGCAATCAGATCCCATTAATGAAACTACTGCACGTTGTATCAGGTTTATGAAGTTGTTGTGTATTGTTTTGTATTATACTCTTGACTGTGCGTGACGTAGGCTTGTGGGCGGAGCATTGGACTGAATTTTAGGTTTGAGAGATCACTAGATTACTCAAACATGCATGAATGACATCTAAAACCTCTTCAGGCATGTCTGGAATGTTCCTCAGTATGACGTTAAACATCTCTACCTTACATTTATTCAATTACAGGTGGTTTTATAGCTCAAAAATACCTAGAAAATCAAAAATTCTGACTGTGAGCGTGGTCGCCTCTCCGCAGATCTGACCTGTAACTGTAAATGCCACACTGTGAAACATTCAAGACAAATCAATAACTCTAATAACTCCAATAATCGCCATGGAGAAAAGTATTTGATGGAAACTGTGCCAGAAAAGTAACACAACGCACCTTTAGGGTTAATTAAAGTGCAGATACAAAGTGTAAAGTATAAAAATATCTATCAGAAGAGTACAAAAATCGCATTCTCCATCTTCAAAATCAAATCAAGCCAAAATTACTCAACCAATCATCCAAACTCTACTCATCGTTACTACATTTCTTTTTCCTTTTGCAGTGTTATAGGCCATATTGCGTGTTCCACCTTTTAAAGCCTTTTATGAATCTGACGCCGGCTCCAAACTCCAGCCTTCTTATTGCTGATGGATTGGACGGTAACCAGGGGCGACCACTATTTATCGGCCCTATTACTGGCTACATAACGCGCGGCGCAATGCAAAAATTCTCCTTCAAAAGCGCCCCGAATCTGCCCGACTGTCCGACCCACCTCTGAGTTATGGCCACATTACACTGAGCGCGCTTCGCCGGATTCGTAGCAGTCGCATTTTATCATGTTTCAGTTGATAATACTGCTAATAAAAGTCAAAATGTCGCCACTGACAGCATATTTTACATAAAGGGGAAGTCAGCACCTGGTGTGATGAACTGGGAGAAAGTAGCAGAGGAATGGCCCACTAGAGGGTCACTAAAGTATTGTACGGGTGAAATATGGGGTGCCTTCGGGGGCTGTGCGTAAATAACAGCGTTGGGACTATCTGATGGAGTTTCATGTGAAGTATGTCTGTGGTGGGAGGCGTAGAAGCTGGGTGAGGGTTTGATAATAATAAAATGTGGCTGTTAAAGGGCTTATATGACGCTGTTTTCTGATCTACAGTATGTTCTAATGTTTTTTTC